ATGGCCATATCCCCATTTTCTAAACCTTCCAAAACTTCAGCGTGACTGCTGCTCCATTCTTTCATAAATTCCTTGTAAGCGTGTTTCAGCTCAGGTTGCTTGTGAAGTTTTCTTTCCACAGATTTCAAACGCTTTTCGGCTAATGCGCGTGAATTTGGCAACACCGGATTAGGATTTTTCAGGAGGAGCGGAACCACGTAACGGCCATCAGGTTGGCGATAGTGAAGTTTTTCAAATTGTTGTTCACAAAAGATGTCATCGGGACTCATCACCTGATGCTTCTGTGGCTCTTCTGTTTCCCAAAATTTCTTAAAATCTGCGCTGAGTGGCAGGCCATCGATGGACAAAAAGCTTTTCTGCTTTTGCCTTTTCGGTTTTTTCGATGTGCTCACTCGGCCGATAATTATCCAACCATAAACGCTCTGTAGGGCGCAGCCATTTCTCTCGGTCAATTTTCGTTTCCCCGTGAGAATATAGGGAAATAGATCAGCTCCCAAAATCATGTCAATTTCGCCGACTTGGTCAAAAGCTGGATCCGCGAGTTCAAGCTGACTCCAAAATTTTCGAACTTCGGGCGTGACAGGTTGAGTAGGAATTGAGTCTGTGATTGTAGAGAGAACGGTGGCACGAGCATGGAGTATCGGCTCGGAATTTTGACGAGGTTTCAGCGTGCATTTCACTTCACCGAGAGGTTTTACCGCTTGATTACCGATACCTGAAATTTCAGCGTCGGTTGCATACATTGGTAATTGAAGGCGCTTAACGCACTCATAACTGATGAAACTTGACATAGCGCCACTGTCAGCAATTGCTCGCACAGGTTTATACGAGTTATCAGGGCACTTAACGTTGAGAAGCACAGTACCAAGGAGAGAAGTGAAATTTCGAGACGGCAGAGTGTCAAACTCTGAGGAAAGATGCACTTTAATGTTCTCCGGGGGCGAATTAGAATTGGATGCTCCATCGACGTTTTTCCGTGGATTTGAACACAGTAGGCTATGATGCTGTTGTTTGCAAAATCGACAGGAATATTCGCTAGCGCAGGCAGCAGTTTCGTGTTTTTTAGACAAGCAGTTGGTACATCGGCGTAATTCGATTACTTTGCTTTTTCGCGCGCTTGGAGAAAGGCGCTTAAATTTATTGCATTTGTACAGGCCGTGATTTCCAGAGCACAATTCACAAGTATTTGTAGACTCAACTACTTCACTGTTGAGAAAAACCTTGTGGGAACTATGGTGCGATTTTGACGGATTTGATGTTGAGTTGGTACCCCTGGAAACTTGTGAATCCTTCGCCTGAGCCTTGTTGCTGGAAGAATCCATGGAAGAGCTTTCGATCTGCAGACACTCTTTTTCGAGAAAGTCGAGAATGCTCTCAAGTCTAGGGTATTTTACATCTGCACCGCGATAGTCATCAAAGCGTTTTCTGAAATAAAACGTCATCTTGGCGGTGATCACAGCTGTCAGCATGGATGAATAATCTTGAAGTTTGTGATCCAATCCTTCAAGTGCTTGCGTATGTTCACGCACTTTCGTGAGGAAGTTCGGAATGTGTTTCAAATCCTTAATTTCTGGCAGTCCCAAAAGTCCATTGTAGTGGTAGTAAATATGACGACGTTCACATTGATAGCGTTGACACAAAAGTTTCCAAGCTACGTCATAATTTGTTTCGGTGATGTCAAGACCTTTGACTAGGTCCCGAGCGCTACCTTCAAGGGAGCTTAAGAGATATTGAAATTTCCTCACTGTGGGCAACTCCATCTCGTTATGCACGGAAGCTGCAAAGAGATTGTAGAAGGAGCGCCAATCTTCTAACTTACCCGAAAAGCGCGGCAAAGGCAATTTCGGGAGTTGGATTCGGCCGCGCGAGGCTCCGCTGGATGCGGAGGAGTCATAGCTCGCTGTCTCGGCGATTTTCGGACAGCACGAGAGATACAGCGTTTCCGCAGAGTGTATCATGCTGTCGAATTTTCCTTGAGTTCTTTTGAACTCAATTTGAGTGTCATCTGGGAGCGAAGCGTTTAAGCTGAGGATTTCCGCCTGAAGCTCATCAAATTGTTCTTGATAAGTTGATAGTCTTTCGTAGAAAATCTTGAATTGACTTGAGTTTTCTGCTGAGAGATTCTTCTCAAAGGTCTTCAAAATCGTTTCCACGCGATTGTAGACGGTGTTTCTTTTCGCTGTAAGAACGCTTGCGGCATTTAAGTTGGAAGGCGCACTTCCAAACTCGTCTTCCAGATTGACGATATCGTCATTGTTTAAACTTTTTCGGTTCTTTTTTGATAGTTTAGGCATTTTGGATTTGAGAAATTAATGAACACAAAATGACTAAACTATAAAATCT